CGATTTTAAAATACGAATATTTCAGCGTCATATAGCCACCGTGATTTCAAATTTTTAATGATTAATCACGAATTCCTTTCATCCGTTTTTTGTTGATAAAACATTCGAGTAATATATTATCACCTAAATATATCTAAAAACTTTATTAAACAGTCAATGCATTGTACAGGTGTAGATATAAATGTATTATTTTTTTTCTTGTTCGCAAATTCATTTGCAATGTTGACTTGCATTCTTTGTACGTACGCGTAAATATGCGTATTGATAAAAATATATTGTATGCGATTTTAGCGCGATTAAACTGTTGACTTACGCGAAAGACGAATGACTTAAAGGTAAAGAACCCCAAACTTCCAGGCGCCTTTGTTAATCAAAATATGAAACGTTTACCGATTCTATTTACACTGAGAACTGAAAAGACTCAATTGTACTTAATCATTTAAAGCAATTAATGACAATTTTAGGAGCCAAGTTTGATATGACGTAGCAAAGAGTTGTTAATATCGCCTCATATTACACGTTTAAACACAATTCAGATAGGGCAATTTTCAGTTATAACAAGTAAAGAAAAAAAACAAGATAAGCAATCGTTTTTAACATGCAAATATCACGACGACTTATCTATCTATACATCTAATCTTTTTATAAATGACAAACAAGAGGTCCGGAGAGGTTTAAAATGGACATATTTATGTACAATTGATCCCTATTTGATTACATTACTTTTTTCCTGAGGACGAACATACAAATGGGATTATGGATGTAATCCTTTAGTACACACGTTTACTTTAAAGTGAAGTACCTCGGGATTATAAAATCATCTTGTCTAACTCCCCTTAACTCATTCCTATCATAATGAAAATGTTCATTAGGTGCACAATTTAATGTTTGTCGTATTTTATACAACTTTTATTTCCATCCTCCGCCCCGCATAACGTGTAAACCTGTCGCTAAGTTAACAATGTCAAAATAATTTATATATTTCCTTTAATTTGGGCCTATAAATAGAACAATTTCTAGTGTTCATATTTTCTTAAACTGTCACGATAATTCCTTAGCAAATAAACAGAGCCATATCAGAGTTCTAGCGAATATTTCATTTTAAAATTTATTGTTTCCAAAATATTTACTTTGTCAGCAATAACAATGGTATGATAATATAAAATATTTCACTGTGTGTTGTATTTTTTATAGACACTGTCATTTCACTAATCCCTTAAAAGTAAGAATTAAAAGTGAGTATGAACCTAGGATATTTGATTACAGTATGGCTTAAAACAATAACATTTCAGGAAAGATTGGACAAAGAAATATGATTACAGTGTGGATTAAAACAATAACATTTCAGAGAAATATGATAACAATAGGAATTAAAACAATAACAATTCAGGAAAGATTGGACAAAGAAATATGATTACAGTGTGGATTAAAACAATAACATTTCAGAGAAATATGATAACAATAGGAATTAAAATAATAACAATTCAGGAAAGATTGGACAAAGAAATATGATTACAGTGTGGATTAAAACAATAACATTTCAGAGAAATATGATAACAATAGGAATTAAAATAATAACAATTCAGGAAAGATTGGACAAAGAAATATGATTACAGTGTGGGTTAAAACAATAACATTTCAGGAAAGACTGGGCATAGAAATATGATAACAATAGGAATTCAAACAATAACAGTTCAGGAAAGATTGGACAGAGAAATATAATTACAGTGTGGATTAAAACAATAACATTTCAGGAAAGATTAGACATAGAAATATGATAACAATAGGAATTAAAACAATAACAATTCAGGAAAGATTGGACATAGAAATATAATTATAGTGTGGATTAAAGCAATAACATTTCAGGAAAGATTGGACCTAGAAATTTGATAACAGTATGATAAAACAACACATTTCAGAAAAAGTTGAAGCTGAACATTTTGATGACAGTATGACCAAAACAATGACATTTCACGAAAGGTTGGACCTGGTATTTGATGATAGTATGGTCAAAACAATGGCATGTCTAGAAAGTTTGGACATAGATATTTGATTACAGGATGATAAAATAATGACATTTCAGGGAAAGTTTGACCTTGATATTTGATTGCATAATGATTATATTATGGTTTAAATAATCACATTTTATGAAAGGTTGATCCTAGATTTTTGAATAGTATGACTAAAATAATTACATTTTAGGAAAGGTGGGAACTGATATTTGATAAAAGTATTTACAAAACAAGGATCTTTCAGGATAGGTGGGACCTTGATATTTGATTACAATATGATTACAGTCTGGTTAAAATGATGACTTTTCAGGAAATGTTGAACATATATATTTTATTACATTATTAACAAAAAATGACTTTACAAGAAAGGTTGAAGCTAGATATTTCATTACGGTCTTGACAAAACAATGACATTTCAGGAAAGATTGGACCTAGATATTTGTTTGGTTAAATATATATTTTATGCATAAAATTAAAACAATTGAGTGTTTTTAATCTCTAAACGGCCCAAGAGAAGTTCATTAAGTCATTATGTCAAGTCATACGTAAACTTCAAAAACGTTTGGAAAAAAATTGTTCAAACTGACAAGTTTTGCATGTTTACCCATTTCTTTGGAGTGTACTTTAGAAAAAAAATGTAAATAACTAAGCGTACTTTGATATAATCACACAAACAAACCAATTATTTTAAAAGGATTTTGATTTTTACATTGATGTGTATCAGCAAAGAATAGTAAAATGTTTCACCACAAACCCTTCTCGTTTTTTTAGAGATAACACCTTGCAATATAAATTCGATATAATGTGGTGGTAAAATCACATTTCACTTTACTTTTATCACATATGTTTTGGCCTTCAAGAAATTCTTTTCATTTTTGTAGTATATTCGTACACTATCAGGCAAAGATAGCCTATATTTTATATGGGACAAACATGACAAATACTGTGTGACAATTAGTTATCAAGATTCATTTTTGTTTTCTTACTAGTCACTTTGTCTGTGCTCGTTTACTAAAGCTACATGTTCTACACTATGTATATCAATATTGACAAATAACTATTGGAAACATCTATGAACAATACCTAACTAAATGAAATCAAAGTGTAATCAAATATAGCAGTATACTGCAAACACAGAAGATATATAAAGAAGGACATGTGACAATTACCGTACAGGATGAGTGGTGTGTTGGCTATCAACGCCGCCCGTCGCAAATTTCCATAAACTAACAATACTGTACACAGAATAGCAACGTTAAAGAACTTACTCTTACGTCCATATAACAAATACGTGAAAGCTGATATAAAACAAAGTAACATTAAACTAGAAATGATAAAACATAGAGAAATTCGACTTCACTACAATAACACTGAGACATGCATTGCTTTACTCACTCCAAACCTCCTCTCCCATGCCCTCTTGCCAACATTATGCTATCAGTATAATAACTTATTGCGCTTGACCGTCTGACCTAATGATAGGTTTCAAACTGAGAGATGTTCATGTTCTGGACATATTGGCCGGGTAAATATGTCTTTGATGACAGCCAACATAAAGAAGTTTTTCTCCAAATAAAGAAACAACCATTACATTCCTATTTAGCTCATAAATTAAAGAAGCTCATTTTAGCAGACGAGAAACCCTGCATTAGCCCGTTCCTATAATTTAGCTTCGTCATTCGCATGATGCTGACTTGACAATTAGCCTCGTTTTGAGAATGAAGACATAATGGTCAATTAATTATTTTGATATATTGGCCGTGATAGTCATTGACTGTTATCTATCAGCCGCTTCAAAAATCAATAAGGCAAGAAATGACTTTGCGATTTTGGAGTTTTTATGTGCCGATTTATGGTTGTTTTGTCAGTAATTTAAATTTTGAGAAATCGTAGATGCAGAACGAGTTTGTGTCTGTCTACAGCGTCATTATTGTCATAGTATATATCAGTGGGGCTATAGTTTTTCCTTGATACATTTGAATGTTCCGATACACATAAAATCAAAAGGTATGGATTTTACCAAGAATTCAACCAAGAACCCTCACTCCTTCAACCACTCACCACGTTGAGCTAACCCCTCCCCAACAAACAGCAACAACAACAGCAAAAGTGACTACTAGCAGAATTTACCTCCTATTTAAGAAATCCAAATGTCACAATATAATCATAACATTAATCGTGAATGGTTTGCAAGCTCCTTATGACAGAAGTAGAAGCAGCACGAACAAAATCTGGCGGATGTTCATGCAATAGCATATCAAACTTTTTGTTGAAAACTAATACAAACGAAAAAAAAAGTACAGGGCATATTTACTTAAGACATATTTTGGTTACAAAAATGCAACTCGTCTTTGTGAAACATGACAACCGCAGTGGTGAGTCTAAAATTACAATACAGCTCAAACTGTTTCTTCTGATGGTATATTTAATTCTTAACATCTAAAGTAATTCATAAATAAATTTCTAATTCAATTCATTAATAAATAACATTTACACGACAGTTAACGCTATTTAATTATCTAAAGAAGCTAATAAATATTTTGACGTGTAACTTGCTAATAGCCGTGTCTAATTATCCATCCGGTGTCATGTGGACAAAATAATGTCCAGAAAACGAAAATTGCAAATGATGTAATTGAAATACATACCTAATTTTTTTTTAATTATTAATACTAGCTATCAATGTTTAAAAACAGACGGTTAAGTTATTTGAAAAAACTGATTTTGCACACACTTATGCATCTTCTTTCAGGAATAAATTGCCATTTTGATCAAATTAACATCTGTTCCAAATTACTCAACATTTTTTGTCTTTTTTTATGTTATAAATTCAGTCATAAAAATTACCTGCTACCAGAGGGATTTGTTCAGTGCTGGTTCCAATTAACAACAAATAAAAACAAGAAAATGATCTTATTATAAATCTATCATCATACATAGCGGTATAATTTTATTCTAAATAAATTAAACCAATAAAATCCCTCTTACCATTTAATGATTGAAATCCAAAGCGAATGATATTTTAAAATCCAACTACGGAATTCAATATTACACAACACACGTTAATCATGTAAAACACACAATATTTTTTTCTTGTAACTCCAAAACTGTTTTAATCATTCGAATTAATTACTCGAGATAATGAGTCTCTTAATTAGCAAAACAACTGGTTTAAGTTTCACATAATCCGGACAGTACACAAACGTAATGATCACTTCCTAATTTGTAAACAAAGAGTTTAATCCATATCTCATGTTCACGTGCTGAATTTCCTATCAATATCGCTAGATCCATACATTAAACCGTTTAAAACTGTAATGAAAATGTTTATCATAAGTCCCTGGCTTCACATCCAAATTATATACTTTACTTCGCTTCTCTCTCTCAAATACCACAAAGTTGGTATTTTCTACCTTGTCAGATGATACGGTCCATAATTACACCTCTCCAAGTCTAAACGTTTATTCGAGCATCAAATGCGTTTTACAGTTTAAATCTTAAATCCAAATGCTATTTCAAATATTTCAAAATTGAAGTTAGGGCCTTTTATAATATTACGGATTATGAAAAGAAAGATGTAAACTTGATGAATATAATATTTTGGCAGGGAACTTTAAACTTATGTTTGTAATTATATACCGACGAATGTCATTTAAATCGACATATCAAACACGCCCAAAAGCCAGTTGCCAATGGAATGAACGGCACAAATTCGAGCCCCAGTTTGTCTTCAAAAGTAACCTCTTTTTTTCTGCCCGTTTTAAAGAAAGGAAAACTATTAAATAGATGAATAATTAACTAAATAAAATGTCCGCTATGACCCACAGGAAGTGTAGCTTTAGGAAATGCACTTATAATGTGTTTTTTAAGCATAAATTTACATATTAATTATGAATTAAAAGTTATCTCAACGAAGGTTCCTTATGTGTTGCGTGGAATAAACTTATGTCAGATGAAACCGGTAAAGCCTTCCGTCTGCAAATATCCGACAAATTTGGAACCAAATAAACATTTTGAGCTAAAAAACATGATGCGTTCATGTGATATCCGAACGTATTCACGTGACATGGAGTTTCATCCGTATAATGTAAATAAAACAAATAGATATATTTTCGAATGTTTAATAATCTTAAGCTTAAAAAGTTCAAGAATCTTGATAAAAAAATATAATTTGCGACCATATCCAAAATAAATATAAGATTTTAAAATAGGAGAAAAAAGATTAATTACAATTTAAACATTTGATGTTTAAACTACTTTACCACTATGGCCATTCTTTCGTAATATATCAAATTCTTGATCAATTTCTTATCAAATATACGAGCGATTTCTCGTGCACGATAGGACAATTGCCCTCACATAACGTTTTAATGATGCATTTTTTTCTGCATTTAAATAAAAACCATTTAGCATTATCAACCGAGCGACCTTTTAAAACCGTCAGGCGTATGCAGATTTTTCTTGTCTCTTCAAAGACACAAGAAGAACATTTCATGCTAAATTAACTCGTTATATGTCAAGTTGTATCTTAAAATATTTCACCTTTTAGGAATGTCAGCTCAAGGACGGACAGTTTCGTCTTAGAGAAATCGGATCAAATTTTCCACAGTAGTAAATACACCCCCCTTCCTGTTAAAAAAATCGGAAATATGAAAAGAAGTACGCCTATTTTACCTTAATTTCAATCTAAAAATGCAATTAAGCTTTTTTTTTGCATTTTATTAAAATACAAAATTTTTACTATACTTGTACGATGCAGTAACCAATTTGTCATTAATTTTGAACACGTACGGAATGTGGAGAAATCGTTAAAATAATTTCATATTCGAATTATTCTATTCAACCCTAGGTATCTATTTATCTGTATAGCCGTTTTTCCAAAACGAAATGTATGTGTTTATCAGGAGGGATTTAAATTATTTCAATCTGTCAGCTGTTTTTTTCTTTGTATAGAAAAGGAAAAAAACAAACTTTGCATACTTTTTTAAGTATCAGCTAGTCCATCAAAATGTATAGCGAAATTCTTCGTTCTTAGTTATAGATTAAGGTCAGGCGAGTGTATGCTAGCGTATGAATATCAAGATTTGAGCCGCGTCACGACAAAAACAACATAATGGGTTTGCGACCAGCATAGATCCAGATCAGCCTGCGCATCCGCGCAGTCTGATCAGGATCCATGCTGTTCGCTATCACTTTCTCTACTTGTTATAGGGTTTGTAAGCGAACAGCAGGGATCCTGATCAGACTGCGCGGATGCATTACGTTGGTTTTGTCGTGACACGGCTCATATAATCTATTTCAGCAAGTATGTGTAAATTTCGAATTCCACGTCTTAAGACGCTTATATCACAACTTACGTGACATGAATGCGAAAATGATCCGGTTGAATGAATGAAAACAAATGTAATCATAACAGGATGTGTGTTTGATACAATTGCAATGCCATTTCACTGAGTTACTATGTACTTTACACATGTTAAGTTAAATTACTTTACTAATGTTACAGCGACGTTTTCTTTCTTTCTTTCTTTTTTTTTTCTTAAAAAAGTCAAATTACCAGACAGCCTATAGCTTGGCCGTTGAAGAATTCATGAAAAAATGCTACAATTTTATTATTCTAAATATAATGTTACAATTATCAAATATTTAACCTTCAGCTTATAAATATGATTATATAAACACTTAATTTATCTTAATTATGAATGATTGTCGAATTAACATTTCACATAGACATTATATTAGCGCCTACATTCTTTACTCGTAGCATGGAAATCTGCTGAAAAAAGGCTTAAAATACATGTAGAAACCCTTTTTAAAAGATTAAGCGTAAATTCGATTTCCAAATAATATCTACATTTAAAAATATAAATAGCCACACGGGCAAACGGTGTTGCACTCCTGACCCCCCCACACTTTTATTTTAAGAGAGAGTACGAAATGGAAAATAAAATATAGAAAATTCAAGAATAAATGTGTTTAAAAAACCTGTACATGTACAAGGTTAAAATTATACAGTCCATAATTCTACAGTAAACATTAAATTATTATTTATTCTATTTTTGTCAAGTGTAAAGATAATAGAAACCGCGTAAAACTTACTCATGCTGATTTACATTCAGTAAAATACAGTTCCATGCAAGGTCAATATGGGCCACGCATAACATTATTGCAGGGAAGGTGTTATTTTGTTGTGGAGATAAGGCTATTCATTTACATTTATGAAGAAATAGTGCTTTTCTTTTGTGTAAATAATAAGATAAGTACCTATTTATAAATATAATTATTAAAGATGTCTAATGATACAATATTGTAACAAGATTCAATGTGTATAAGTTTCAACATACCTTAAGAAATCATTATGAAAACAATAAATAACTATCTATTTTTACAATGTTTTTCAATCACCAACGTTTCGAGGGGTTAAACCCCTCTTTATCAAGAAGTTTGCTGTTTATTCTAAAAATCACATATAGATAGTGTAAGAAAAAAAGGATAAATATGAGATTCATAAAATAAATAGCAAACATCTTGATAAAGGGGGGTTTAACCCCTCGAAACGTTGGAGTTTGGTAAATTTTGTGAAATACTATGTAGATAGTAACATACCTTCAGTTTGTAATTACTATTACTTTTGTGTTGTGAGCATGCATCAAGAAAAGCGTTTAAAATATATAAGATAAGATACATATTTATATATATCATTAAAAACCCTTGACATTATGATCAACCAATGAAAATCGTCGGAGTGACGTCATGATTACGTTTATAAAATAGGAAGTTATCCTATTGAGTGCTTCTTAAAAAGTCACTTAAATATGGTGACTGATGCACGTATCTTTTTCGCCAAAAAAGGCAAAACACGAAGAAACGACAAAGTGAAACTTTGTTGTATTTTGGTTTTCAACTTTTTTTCGCATGCATTCTCGAGGTGTATAAAAGCGAAAAGACGTCAAAATTAGGCAAAAATGCATGCTATGTGTATAGTGTTATTTTTTGCATTTTCTTCAACAATGAAACAAAAATGCAACATTCCGTACATGCAACAATGAAACAAATCTGCAACAACGCATAAATGACACAATGAAACAAAAATGCAACACTTCGTAAATGCAACAATGAAAAAAAAATGCAACAACGCATCTACTCTGTCGTATCTTCTTTTTTTTTTATTTAGGCTTAAAAACAACAAAAAACAATATTACTTTAAATGCCATATTGTCGCCCTTATTTTGTCTTTTCCGTGAATCCGCATTGTTTTATCGAGACTAAAATAAAAGTTATACTTAGTTGTTACGTAGGATTCACGAGAACTCTTATAATTAAACTTCCGGTTTTGATACTTAACCAGGATATTTAAATGTTGCATACTTGATAACTTATAAACAAATGTGCACTTGATTCATTTACTTCCGCTATCTGCATTATTTTTAAATATATTTTTTTATTACAAGTAATGAAATATTGAGGACAGTGATAAAGAGCATTAAGAGCAAACATATACATATATATTACAATATTAAACACATACTTTACAAACCATCGTCACGAACAATTATGAGGAAATCATGATTACGAGTATTAACTTGATTTATTTCATTTCATTGTTTATCCAATCCAAAAACTGAAATTCAAATATTTGGAAAAGAATTATGTGGGCACAAGACAAAACCACAAAGCGAATACTGTTTTAACCCACGTCGTAAAAAGAGAACAGTTGTTAATATTATCAAAATAGACATCTCTGTTTATTAGTTGTGGCGCTCAATTAGATCTCCCATAACAAGAACACGACTTCGAGTATAATCATTTTGTAAAAAATATTTTATTTCTCGTAAAACTTATAAATTAATCATCATATTTGAATTTAATTAATTTGCAACATTCTTGGTTTTATGAAACCTTTTTTTGATACAAAACCGCATTCTTTTTCCCCCAAAACCATAATTGAAATGGATAGTTATATACGATTAACCACTATATCAGTCACTGTATTAAAATTGATGTGATTAACATTGTTTACGACAATCAAAACCCAAAACTGTATAATATTATTTGCGACAATCCGGAAAGCATCGTTTAGTTGGATTGGTTTGGTAAAGGTTAATCAGTATATTTGCATAGATTAACCAGTTAAACTGTCTGGCATAGCAAAGTCGGTCCCTAGTGATTGACTTCCTCGAATACAAATCCGCCATTTTTTCAAAGAAATAGATCATGTCGTTCAATCTTTTGTCTGTAAATAGATTTAATCAATAAAGTTTTTTTATTAGTTTGGCGTCATATAATAACGCGTTCATTATAAGGCTACCAAAATTACTTAATATACTGTTTTTTCTTTTAATAGAGTGAAATAAACAATTTGGCATTTTTCTTTAAAAAAAAGAAAAAGAAAATAAGAATTGGGTCATACTTTCTGTGTCGAACATTCATCACCTACGTGACGTCACGAAATACACGTAGTAACGTTAAATTGTTCTACCACTTTAAAGAAAGCGTTAATGAAATGATGCATTGTAATTACCCAAATTAGTGAACAAATTGACTAATCAATTCCCTTTAAACAATATACCGCGTAACCGCATTTTCTAAATGATATGCGACAAAAGTTAGTTGAAATTTTAAGAGAGGAAAACAGAGGTACCCCTTAATACTAAATTTGTAAAATCTCGTTTACGTTACGAAACAAAACGAGACGGGTGAGACCCGCCGGCGTGGATTTCTAGCTACATGTACTTTAAATTCTGAAATGATTTAATAAAAACAGGTTTATCAGTATAAATTCTTAGTACCTTTGAAATTCAATATGCCGTTTCAACTTCTATTAGTGTAAGCTCGACAGACTTCCACTTTGAACAT